AGAGCTGCTGGCCCTGTGGACGGCGTTGCCTCTCCTCCAAGGACAGCAGTGATGAGGGAAGGCCAGGCGGGGCTGGCCGAGAATGTTCCCTGACCCTCTCCTACTCTCAGAGCCGCACCCCATCACAAACAACGTTTACTTTAGAATACTAAATTTCACTTAGACATTCTTACTGACAGTGATTATCAACACACAAGCCAGTCTTCCTGGAAGTGACAGGACATTGTCCCCACACCCAGCAGTGGATGGCTTAGAACAAAGTGGAAGGCTGGGAACTAAGACGGGGACGTCACCCCCAACCCTGGTTGCCCAGAAGTCCTGCCCAGGTGCCTGTCCCCACCCTGCGCCTTCCAGTCAGGATTTGCCCTTCGCTGCCTTACCTCTCTGGGCTTAGATTTTCCTGAGTGGCCGAGATTTCTTTTCCTGGAAAGCTGAGCATCTGTTTTTCCTGCCCCTTTGGTGCCCGAACTGGCCTGCCATCCCCATATCACAGCTGCATTCCTGGGAACGGCTCCACGGTGGTTGACTTGGTCGCTTGCAGAAACCCGTTTGCTCAAAAGAATCCATCTCTGCGTCAGGTGTGCCTGCCAGGAGAGACCTGGGAATGCGAAATTCCTTCGCAGGTCAGCTCTGAGGGCTGAAAGCAACCGAATGGTTTTATAGGATCATGTGGAGCCCTCGTTATCCTGCCATTCTGGCCTGCGTGTTTCCTGTGTCTCCTTTCCTCTTCCTCTTATGACTAAAGCAGGTGCTAAAATAGGTCTCGGTCCTGCCACCTCCACCTAAACAAGCCGTGGCCCTGAGGATGGAGCTGCCGTGAAGATTCATGGACGCGATGCCGTCCTTGGTGCTTACGGAGCCTCTTGACATAGGGTACAGCTCCGTCCACAGCTGCTGGCACTTCCTGAAGGCTGGCGATTGTGCTGAGCAACGCAGGGTCTGTCTCACGGAATCATCTCTGCGATCTTATGAGGGAGGGGAGTGTGATCATTATCGCCTGGAGAAAAGCGTGGCTCAGAAAGCTAGGAAGTTGGTGGCATCGCTCACAAGTTGTAGAGCCAGGATTTGAACTCAGATCTTTCAGACTTGGGTGTGCGATACTGCCTTCCAGGGACTCGTCAGTTCAGTCTGATTCTCAAGTTCAAGTCTTTGGACAATAGGCAGACCTTGCAGTATCAGTCTGCTTTTGAGAAATTAGGAAAATGCCATCCCTAGAACATTTCTATCAACACGTTATTGAAAGGTTAAATTTTGTGTTTGCCAGCTACAGACAGACACTGAACTTCTTTCTGCCTTGTTTTCTTTCTACAACCCGAGTTTCCCTGTCTCCACTTACCTGGGAAGTATTGTGTTGAACCATCTGAAATCAATGTTGCTGTAGGTAACACAGCGAAATATCAGCGATTTCACTTGATTCGACCCAATAATAGACACTGCAACTTGAAGGCCGTCACTATCTTCACTCCTCCATCTCCCCCCGTCCCCAGCCAACAATGTTTCTTGTCCAAATTATACCCTCACTTCAAGATTCAGCTTAAATCACGCCACCTCCTCCAGGAAGTCTTCGCTGAGTTCCCATCTGGAAATCATTTTTCCTAAACTCTCATATTTGCCTCTCTTGTCACCAATTTTCCAGGCATCACGGTTGTCTACACGTACACATGCTTTTTCTTCTGGTGAGGAGCCATGTCTAATTTATCCCTATCTGACTGGCTTTGTCATAATAGCTGGCCCACTGTAGGTGTGTTGGTTAAGAGTCTGTGGAGCTCAGCTATGTGACGTCCTGCTTCTTATAGGGACAATGGCTGTCCCAGGGCTCCATACTGAAGCTTGTAGGAGAATCTGATAGGGGGGTGAGTGCCACCCTCTCTTGGGCCCCCACCTTCCTGCTCCTGACCCTCACAATCACCTGCAGTCTCCTGGGAAGGGGCTAGTGAGATGCATCTCTGGCTCTGCTGTAAATTCAAAACCTTGGGAGCTTCCCTGGGTGTAATCTGAAATGGGCCCCCTGTACGCAGAGGGCAGGGGGAGACAGAAGAAAGAGACAGACCACCTCACAGCAAATTGGTAGGTGGCAGGTTTAATAAGCAAGGGAACTTACACATAAGGCTTGTTCTCGGGCAGCCACAGGATGAGTAGATCTCTGTGCACCCCTGCCAGACTCTTACACATTTATATAGAGGCCTTAACTGGGGTCAATCACATGTACCGTCCAGATGGTCTCAACAACAGCTTACTATTCCAAGGCCGTGTCCTTGGGCAGCTTCTAGCGCGGGGAAGGCAAGCAGAACGTACATTCCGAGGACCAGGGGAGGGGGTGAGGCGCCTGTGATTACCACATCCTCCCGAGGCCCTCCTCCAACATCTGCTTGGAGAGGGGCCCAGGAGCCCTCTGTGGGTCAGGCTCAACGCAAGGATCAGGTGAGGATGACTTCAAGTGCGCCACAGATAAGGTCCTCCAGATGTCACTCTCCCAATTCTGGCTGGATGGGCAGAGCTGCAAGCCACGGTTTTGGTCACTGTTTGTACACAGTCTTAGGACATGGTCTGCAGGCCAGCGAGTCAGGAGACAGGTGGCTCTGCTCTTTTTCCCACTGATTACATTCTGGAAAGGATCCCCCGGCAGCCCAGGCCTGGTTCAAGTGGAAGGGATTCGTGAATTTGTATTTCCTCCAGAGAGGTGAAACCCGCACGTACCGAATCTGCTTTCTCTCTAGAAGATGTGGATTGTGGACGACTGCCGACCCTTGAGTAGCTCATCCCAAACCCAACAGCGCTGCGGTTTCCCCTTCCTGTCTTCTGGTTTCCCTCCCTCCCTTTCTGAAATCAAGACTGGAAAATGGAGGAGGCAGGGTTTTAAGTGGCTGCAATGTCCATTTCTTTGTGGGCATCCGCCCAGGACAGACTCAGGATCCAGGCCAGCGGAGCCAGCTTGCTGAAAAAATGGGGCAGCGAGGGTGAAGGACACAGGCAGAGAGTCTGTCTCCCAGGTCTTCCGTGTGACGGCGCCAACCCCCATCCCCATTTTCACTAGCGGCAAAGCAGGAAGGATACGCTGCTTGTCTGTCCCAAACTTGCCCGGAGGATAAATGAGAATGCAGATGGCACAGGGGGTGCTTTTGAAGACAATGCTGGGGCGGAACATCCAACCCCAAACACATGCGAAAGCACCGTGAAAACCATAAAGCACTGTACAAACGTAAGGGGTCGAGACGACCCCTCATTCACTGAACGCCTGCGAAAGCCAAGCAATGTGAGTGGTGCTGGGGGCAAAGGTGAGGTTCCTCATTCTCAAGGCAGCCAGAGGGCAGCGTGGGGGCAGACAGACAGACAGACACACACAAATAACCAACACTGGACAAAGACTCAGGTATACGCGAGCGTGAGAGAGCCAGGCTGTTGAGGAGCCGGTGGAGTGAAGGCTGCCTACAGAAGGAGGCCCCGGCTGAATCTCGAGCGGCAGGAGTTTGTTAGGGGAGAACGGGGCGGGAGGGAAGGGCCTTCCAAGCACAGGAGAAGCACAAGCTAAGACTCTGAGTCAGGGGGATGTTTGGGGACCTCCAACTGTTGTACACGGCGGAGGGGAAGCGGGCAGGGCCAGGGGCTGTGAGAGAGGGCAGGTCGGGTCATGGAGGGCCTGGTAGGAGGCTGCAGTGTGCTCTGGAAATCAGAGGACGTCACTGAAGGTTTTAAGCAGGTGAGTGACAGGAGCAGCTGTGGGGCCTAGGAGAGATGTGGCTGCAGTGTGTCCTGCTGCCTGGAGGACCGACACCCAGCACCCCGGTGAGGAGCCAGCGCCATCAACACAGAAGCAAGCCCATGAGAGGTCCCCATGAAGGTGGGGGGTGGTGTTGGGGCCCTATGTGGTCCGAAGCAGAGAAAGCTAAGAAGTGTCAAGGAAGCTGAGTGCAGAGACTTAGTAAGTAGCTGGGTGAATGGAGCTGGGGAAGGTAGGAGGTGGGGGGTGACCACTGGGGGAGGGGATGCAGGAGGAAATCAGGTTATGGCAGATGAAGAATTCTGGTCTGAGTTAAGCTTCTTTCCTTTTAAGTAGGAGATAGCTTTTCCCTCCTTTATACTAGTGATTTGTTTCATTGCAATTTTCTTTGTTGCAAAAAAATAAATTCAGGACATATAGGAAAGTATATAAGTGAATAAAATTTTCTCTCAATTCTGATACTCACAGATAGTCAATTAACCTATTGGCGAATATTCCTCTAAATCTTTTTTCTGTGATATATGATTTTTAAAAACAAATTTGAAACAGAGTATATTACTGATTTTAAAACTTTCGATGCTCAGTTGTATCCGAGATCAATACAGTCAGAACGACGGTGGGTTGGGGACCAGGCATCAGTGTATTTTGAGGCCGATGATTCTAATGCACAGCCAGGGTTGAGAAGCGGCACCCTTAGACATGAGTGAGTACCAGGCGGCAGAGCACAGGCAGCCTCCTGTCGCTGCCAGGCTGTTCCTGAAGGTCCAGAAAGAACCCCCAATCCACGTAATAACAAGAGTCAGTGGTCATAAGGCACTTCAGACTCCAATCTAACGCAGTCAGACCAAGTCATGATTCAAAGAACTGAGGAAAAGTCGGTATTTTTAGATACTCTGCTCAAACCCAGTGGACGCTTCGCCCTGGCGGGGAGCCACCTCAGTGGTCGAATTAATACATTAACACCTCAAGATGTGGCCTCTAGAGCTGGTGGTCAGTGGTACTGAGGATGCTGTGAATCACAGAGCAAGGTTAACTTCAGGAACTAACAAGAAAAGGGATTCTAAACTCTTGGAACAGGAGTTCACTGTCTTAGAGAAAGAAAAGAAGGTGAAGAGGGAAAGGAGGGCCTCCGATCCACATTAGAGCTTTGAGTCCAAGAATTGTAAACATGTATGCGCTGCCAAATCTCACTCTAAATATATTCCAATGATCTCATGTTTTCATATGCAGCGGGATAAAAAGAGGCATTTTTATCCGTCTTGGATGACAGTGTCTCGAACTTTTATGGAAGCGTCCTAGAGGCCTTAGTTTAACCGAGAGGGGCAGCAATATTTCAACCACTGCAAGTTGCCATGATGGACGTGTTAAATGCACAGAATGACAGTTCTCTATCTTCTTGCCACTTGGACCCTCAAATGTATTCTGAACATCAGCAGCGAGCTCCCCACCCCACGGGGGAAAGTCTCCAATCAAAGATCCTCTGAGGAGCAGGAGCGCCAGGAGAGGCTTTGGAGGGAGCCGCACATATTTTGAGGTGATTAACATTTCAGTTTTGGCCTCTTGGTCCGCATGAGCGTCATCTGTTACTTGTTTTCTCTTTGGCCAACGAGACCACAGTCCGTGTCCCGCAGGAGAAGGCTGGAAATTCTTCTGAAAGCCCTTTTAGGTGAAGCCCAGTGAGAGGGCAAATGAAGCTTCACTCCTTTTATGGCCATACCTCACCGTGAGAAAGAGAGCACCCTCTCTGCTCCCCTGATGTCTGAGGAGACTGTGTGCTCCTGAGTCCTAAAACTGGGGGCCCTCTCAGGACCCCTGGACTGACAGGACCCTCCGACCCCCCCAGCAACCTGCTCCCCCTCCCCCAGATCCTGCCTTCACCCCCACCATCTGCAGTCTTCGCTTCTGCCCCATCGGAGCATAAATCAAGCAGCAGGGTAGCTCGGAAATATGACGAATACCTTGGCCGGCTCCTGCTTGCAACGACAAGCGGGGCGGGGAGGGAATCTAAAGTAACCAGGCTTGGCTGCAAGCGCGGCCAGAATTTAGGGCTCCTGGAGCCGGCCCCAGCTGCGCAGACAGGAGCTGCCAGGGGCATCTTCCCTGGGGGCGGCCCCAGGGCTCCATGCTCAGAGGAGAGAGCTTTGGTGTCTGTCAAGACCATTATTCAGAAATTCTTGGACACTTCTGAGCCCTCGCTGTGAGTGTGGAGACGGGGGCTGAGGGTGCGGGGAGCTCTGCCTCAGCTGGGAGGGCGCTGGTAGCGGCCCCAGGCTTGGATGCACAGGGAGCCCCCCCACGGGTGCTGTGTGCGATGCTTGTGTGTGCAAGTGTGTGCGTGTGTGCATGTCGGGGGCCGGTGAGGCAAGAGATCCCGCCAAGGCCTCCTGAGGACACGGGTCAAGGGCGCCTCAGCCCTCAGGTTTGGGGGCCTGCTCAGTGCTGGAGGGGTCCGTATCTTTGTTCTCTGTTTCCTAGTTTCACTAGTTCCTGGTGTCTCTGGTTCACTGTCAGTGGGTTGGGACCTTGCAGGAATGACTCTAGCAGAGCCAGAAACTGCCCAGTAGGTAAAGCCGGGGGTCCTAGGCGTCACCCTCAGGCCTGCTGTCTGCCACGCCGATGGAGGTCATGGGACCCCGTCCAGGCAGCTCCTGAGTGTCCCGGCTCCTCCGTTTGGTGCCACAGAGTCACGATTGCACATGACATGGGTCAGGCTTCAGGGAGCTTCAATCTAGAGATTCTTTTTGTTTTGTTTTGTTCAGTGTTGTTTTAAGACTCACGAAGAGATTATTCCCATGGCCACTGACAAGAGCTTCTAGGCACAGTGGCGGGTCCACCATGACACTTTGGAGAAGAGTGTCGGTAGGCATCTGGTCTCAGCTGTGACAGGCTCTGAGCACACGTGTCAGAAGGGCTGCCT